CAGTAGCTTACACATGTAACGGAACACTTTCTAGAATTTTTTATTTACATGACTATTAGTTTGAACACTTTTCTATTTTGTTCAAACTAATAGTCATGTAAATAAAAAATTCTAGAAAGTGTTCCGTTACATGTGTAAGCTACTGTATATGTACTTCTTATTTTCTTAGAAACATATTGCACGAGGTCAGTAGGATCAAGTTTTTTTTATGAGGTTGCACGGCACCCATAAGAATGCAAATTTTTTTATGATCATGCGAATATAAATATGTTCAGTATCTTATTTACTTTTACTACTAATGCATTATCCTTTTGTTCAAAATCATGATTATGGTAGATAATACTAATAACACCCTTGATAGTAAGTATTTCACTTGATATCGCCCAGTATAAACGTCTAAACCAACGCATTCCCGTGAATTTCCTGTAAAAAATATAAGTCAAAATGGTTTTTTCATTTATCGTAACATCATGGTGGAATTGAATAAAAAAGCAAGAACAACAATATGATATGCCAACGTTATCAAAGATAAATTTTGGAAAGAACCAAACCAAGTCAAAGAAGACTACAAACGACTAGCCAAGGAAGTAAATGAGTCTCTTCAAGGTTCTACTATTTCAGCGTTTGAATTCTGCGAAGGCACGCATTTCACAAGTGCTAATTCCTCCGAATTCTGATGATAATGATATCAACAAATTCTTGTAAAAAAGCTGCTCCGTGAGAAGCTTTCAATGTACTAAAAGCTGAAAATGAGTGGTTGAAAAACAGCCAAAATTTAACTAGTTCTGAAAGGATAAGAAAGATTACAATAAAATCAAACATGTTTTTTTTCCGCCGGGTTTTAATGCGCCAATGCAATATTTTGAACCATTTCATTTTAGTTCGAACTCAATAAAAGAAATTTCAACTTCATGTAATTTAGATCATTTTAGCTTTTCTAATATTTCAGGAAATAATAATACCAATAATCATATAGGGAATTTATCATCAAACGTTTCAGAAAATAGCAATACTAATAAA